TTTGTTGGTGAGTCTTGGTGGGGAGCCAACTATAGCTGAAAAGAAGAGTGTGAGTTTTAGTTGGCGACCCTCAGGTGGACAACCTTTGCATGAGGATTCATGTCCATCAACCGTTTTGAGGATTGTTTTTTGCCGCAGCATTTACTATCACCAAAGCCGGACATCAAGTACATGAGGGTTTACGTCCACCAAGCATTTTGGAGGGGATCATCATACTCATTCTGGAGGCGTCCCGCCCCATTCTAGCAACGCCAGTCGCAAGGTAAGGGTATAAGCCCATGACTTAGATAACATGAGCAGCATGTCAGTAAGCCCATGTTGCTAGTAGGCTGCTCGCCCGGCCACATTGCAATCGGGTTGCCACAAATCTTCGTCCTTTCATGCTCCCAAAGGACACGTTACTTTGGTCGAGCCAAGCGAACCCTCGTCTACAAAGCGGCTTACTTGCAAGCCAGTTTGGGCGAGGGTCTCTCTGTAATTCGAGATGTTCTGCGGATGGCATACTTGTTTCCAACTGTCATGTCCCCATGTTCCCAAAGGTCAACCGATTGTTTGGGTCAAGCCTCAGCGTGTTAAACCCGCATACCATTCTGCGGACAAGCTAAGGTCCAATTGCCCAACCCTGGGCTGCTGAACTAGAAGGCGAGCTGTACTGAAAGAGCACGTTCACTGGGCCCACCATAAGAAGGCCTGTGGCCGGGCCCAACACCTGGCACCCAGCCGGTTTTGAACTGCGACCTTCGGATGCGAACTTGAGGTGGGTGTGCCAAAGGAGTTGAACCCCGCACAAATGTTCATCGCCTGCGGAGGGCTGTGGAGCCCATGTTGAGCGAAAAGACCGTTGAAGACCCATGGTTTGGCCCCGAAGCGGGATTCACAATTTCCGGTTTGGGCGAACAGCATGTCATTGTCCCTTACAATTGGCCGAACAATGGCACAAGCTCCCCATGTTGATTTTATCAGACTCTAATGACTTGTGGACATCGCTGACGTCTTTGGTGGGGTCTCCCACTCATTCCGAATTTGGACCCGGCAGACTTAAGCCAAGGGTTGGTGGATTTCCCCAACGCTTGGATCTCGAAAGATAAGGTGGATAGCTCCGTAACGGCTCCAAAACCCAACCAGCTAGCGGGGTAAGAACAGGAACCCTCGACTCCCACAGAATGACTTTCCGACCTCTCCTGATTCACGCAGCTGCCCCGGGTCAGAGCCAAGGCATTCTCTCCCTTGGCATTGGCGGAGGTCTTCAGGCGCAGGATGACCTCAGTTTCTAGTGCTACCTTTCCCATTCTTGGCTTATTTTTCTTACTGGGAAACCAACTTTGAGGGTACCCTTTTGGAAACTAGTTTTGCGGGAACGCCGACGACAAAAGGGGGCACCTTGTTTCGACCCCCCGTTTTGTTAACCCCAATTCCTTTATTTTGACCCGCCTGCTTCTGACCCCCTCCCCCTACTTTCATTCAACCCTCCCTTGCCCAACAAGGAGATCAATCCTTTGAGACAAACCCAGATCACTCAAAGAGTTCCAATCGACGTCAATGTCTTCGGCCAGTGAGGTTTTTGTGGGAAAAAAAGAGACATCTGGGAATTTCCCTGTAGGACACCAAACAAAAACAGGACAAGGGAGAAGGAGCCCAGAAAACAGCCAGTTGCCTGAGCTAGCCCTTTGCTCAGGACATGATTGATCATTGCTAGATCATTGTAAGGACCACTTGGCCTTCGCCTCACGACGGCCCAACAAATCATTAAACTGCAACACACAACTATCCAACAAAGATCAAGGCCAAAAAAACCAGGCAAGTGGGTCACAGCAATGGAGAAACCTGGCCGCACGTGCCTTTCAACCGATTCACCAGTTCGCACCTCTTTTCTACAAAGCGCGAAGGAATCTGCAATACCGCCGCAATATACCATGCTGGCAACCTGGGGGCAGGGCCATGTGCAGCAACTGTCTTAGCCCGTAGCAACATAGAAATCCACCGGCCGATACGGTTGGGGATCAGTCATCCACACGCCCAAACAACGGCTGACCGATCAAGGGCCAAGATCATGCAGGAAAAGCGGCACACGGCCCTAAATGTGCTCCTGGCTTTGCAGAACACTCAAGCTTGACAGAATTCTCAGAACTCTGCTTTGCACAACAACACTTGTGGCTTACAAATAAAAGTGGACATGACCCTTCGGTGATACCTGTAAGTGGGTCAAAACTTGGGGAACGCCCTCTGGGACGAGTGCTCCAAGGAACTACTTATCTACAGTACCAGTTTCAATTCCTGGCTATGAGCCAGGCAGGTAAACTTGCAGAAGAAAAAACAACGAATCCCAGCGCAGGCTTAAAGCTGAAGCGTTTTGGGCTGATCTGATTGCCTGAAGCTGAGAATCACGTGTATATCTCCCAGCGCGCTTCTGGCCAGTTGCATAGCCCCAGTGATCTCTATGACGCGGGGTGCGCAAAACAGTGGCATGTGCTCAAAGCTGACCACGCTGTCCGGCAGGAAGGGGCTTTGCTGCGCAAGGCGACACAATCCTGAGCAGGGCAACCAATGACATACACCTGCCAAAAAAACATTGTTGTCGAGAAACCTTCAAGCACCCTTCCAGCAAGGCACGGCCCGCACAAAAAAACCTTACAAAAACAGCAGCCGCCAGCACAAGCACCAGAACCAGCACCACCAACAGTAGCGCCAGCACCAGCACGACCAACAGTAGCGCCACCAGCACCAGCACCACCATCAGCACTATCATCACCACCGCCGCCAGCAGCAGCAGCAACAACATCATTAGGGAGCATCATATGTTGTTTCAACATGTGCGACCCTGCAGAATTCCGATGGAGTTCCTGTGGTTTTCCTGTGAAACTCAATGGCAATTCTATCGACATTCCACCCAAAGTCCCAGCCATCCATGACCAAACCTCACATGACAAACGCTAAGAGCAACTAGGTGTTACATTCCAGGACAGCCAAGCCAAGGGTACC